AGGCCCTTAAATTTGGACTTGGTCTTTAAAGACCAGGTTTAAAGACCAGGTCCTAAAGTCCCAGACCTAAGGACTTTGCCAACCCTAACTTGTGGTGAACTAAATGTAGCTATGTTTTTTTGATGGTGCAAAGTAAACATGGTACGAATATTCATTCCCATTTCATAACATCAGGATGTGATTTATAAATTTCATAAGCTTCACGATTAAAAAAAGAAAATTCAGTTTCATTCTCTAATGAATTATTTGAATGTTTCATATAAATGATATATAAATAAATTCTGCAAAAGAAAGTGCTATCTCAATACATGTAAGCATAGTACAAACCTATATTACAAGAAGCTAATGAAGCATTTCCATCATTCAAAATCCAATCATCATTTTCAAGATTTATAATTAAATTTTGAGACTAGATTTATTAAATGCAGTAGAGAAATTAGTACTAATGTGCAATGAAAAAAAGAATTAATTAATGATTAATTGATTACTTTTGATCCATGAGCCTTCGTGTAAATTTTTAACGTATCTTTAAAAGAAAAATGAAATTAATATTTTAAACATTTGTTAGTGTCAATGCAATCTAAAATAACATTATTTAAAATACCATAATCTACATTACGAAAAGGTTTAAATGCGGGTGTTACATTTATCTCTAAAATAATAAAGAAATATGCTAAATATCAAAAATTGTGCTAAATATAAAAACTAAATTTATAAATACTTTCTATTATAATTTTCTTTAATTCACCGACTGTCATGGTATCTAATTTGATATTATGTAAAACTACATTTTTAACAGTTCGATACTCAAAATTTTTAATTATTCGAATTGTGATTGTAGCGTCGACCGGAGTATTATCTGTCATTTTTTAATGTTGTCGTTATTAAAAATATTAAAAATATAAAGTAATTGTTATGAATTGTAACAAATCAGAATATATAAGTATCACACATGACAACAGTTACAAAAAAAGTAATTCTCTAACCCTAAGCTCATGTTAATGCTTTAAACTACTAATTTGCGTATACTAGATATAGATCTAATATCTGAAATCGACCAATCAGATTACAAAAAACGGACAGAATTAATAGTATAGATTTCGTAATTATCTTAATTATCTTAAAAAACGCTAAGATGAGTTCTTCACCGGTCACCCTCGTGCGAAAGATAAATCCAAATGCTGCCCTTGACCTCCAAACCGATAAAATTAGGTATTATCAACATGTCTTGCTTTAAGATTTGAGTAAACTATAGTTTCATTTTTTCATTATTTTACAAATATCATATAGGTTACCTATTCCCGGTGAGCGGAACATATTAATCACTAGCGCTCTACCCTATGTTAATAATGTACCTCATTTGGGAAATGTTATTGGAAGTGTTTTAAGCGCTGACGTATTTGCCAGGTGAAAGCAAGTAACTTTAATCTCTCTTCACTTATTGCTGAACCAATTACTGACTGTAATATTTGCTGCGCATTTCGGATCATGGCCTCTTAAGATATTCGCGTGCTCGTAATTATAACACGTTATATATCTGTGGTACCGATGAATATGGAACTGCTACAGAAACAAAGGCTCAGGAAGAAGGAATCTCTTGTAAAGAACTTTGTGACAAATACTATTCACTTCACGCAAAAATTTACAAGTGGTTCGATATAGGCTTCGATTATTTTGGCCGAACTACAACCCAGCAGCAAACTGAGTGTGTTTTTATTCACAATGAATTATAATATTATAAGTATTTAATAGTATCTCATATCTATTTATTGTTTAATAAAATTTTAGTATCGCTCAGGACATCTTTTTAAAGTTGTACAAAAATGGCTACCTTAATGAAGATATCGTGATTCAATTATTCTGCGAAAAATGTCAACGGTAAGCTATTACAATTTTTTTTTTTTTTTTCCACAATAATGTATGAAGTTATTTGCGAATTGAGACGATTCACTGTAGGTTTCTTGCGGATCGTTTCGTAGAAGGAACCTGTCCCAAATGTAGCTATGAGGTGCGTGAATAACTTTATTTGAAGTATTATGATGTAAATAATCATTGAATATATTAATTATTTTCTTGTAGGATGCTCGAGGAGATCAATGTGATCATTGTGGTCAACTTCTCAACTCTATAGAACTTATAAATCCACGATGTAAAACGGATGGTAGTACACCTATTACAAGGAAATCGAGTCATATGTTTTTAGATTTGTCAAAATTGCAACAAAAAGTTGAAAATTGGATAGAAAAGGCTAGTGTTGAGGGTAAATGGTCAGCTAATAGCAAAACTATTACTCAATCTTGGCTTAAAGAAGGGTTAAAACCTCGCTGTATTACACGTGATCTTAGCTGGGGCACCCCAGTGCCACTTGAAGAAATGAAACAAAAGGTGTTTTATGTTTGGTTCGATGCTCCTATTGGGTAAGTTTTATTACCCATACCTACAAACATCAGTGATACCAACATCTTGTTCACATTATTTTTGGTGCATAAAGTTACTTTTCTATAACGGCAAACTACACGAATGAATGGGAAAAATGGTGGAAGAATCCAGATCAGGTCAAATTATATCAATTTATGGGAAAAGATAATGTTCCTTTCCATACTGTTATGTTTCCTTGTTCATTATTGGGTACGGACGATGAATGGACCTTGTTGCATCATATAAGTACTACCGGTGAGAATTGGCAGTTTTGGTCTTTTGAGCTCGCTTTTGTTATATATTTATGTATAAAAAACATATAAATATTCCAATTCAGAATATCTTAATTATGAAAATGCAAAGTTTTCCAAATCTCGCGGTATTGGAGTATTTGGTGACGATGCGATAGACACTGGAATACCTGTTGCTGTCTGGAGATATTATTTGATTTCAAGTCGCCCAGAAACAAATGATTCTACATTCACTTGGAAAGAATTTATTGCCAAGAACAATAACGAATTGTTGGCTAACCTTGGAAACTTTGTCAACCGTGTCATTAAATTTGTCACTGCTAAGTTTAATAGCACTATTCCATCTTTCTCTTATGACTCCGAATCTGAACAAGAGCTCATAAAGAACATCAATAACTTGTTAACGAATTATATTGATGCGCTAGAAAATATCAAATTACGTGCTGGTCTCGAAACAGCTATGGAGATTTCACGACAGGGTAATGGTTACCTACAGGATTCCAAACTCGATAACGCTTTGTTTGAAAACAAACCTGAGAAATGCGCTTCGGTCATTGGTATTTCGGTAAATTTGATTTATCTCCTTTCTGCCGTATTTAGTCCATATATGCCATCCGTCAGTGAGTCTATTGTCCGTCAATTGAATGCACCACTGAGGAAAATTCCTGATACGTTTACAATGGATATTGAACCTGGCCACCAAATTGGTAAAGCCGAATATCTCTTCAAGAGGATTGATGAAAAAATGGGTGAAGAATATGTTAATAGGTTTGCTGGTGAGTCAAAGAACAAAATAAAAACATCTAAAAAAAGCAAAAAAACATCAAAGTCAGCTAATAATGCAATAACAAGTGAAAGTTCCAAAAATTAAAATTTTATTTGGAGTTTTCAGTAAAAGGAAAATTTTTATTAATAAAGTTTCAATTCTTGATTTGAAATTTTGGTCGGTAGTTTGTGGTGCATGTATACTTACTGTAAAATCCCAGACTATTATAAAATTAATTTGTCAACACCTAAATCGGCAATTCATCTAAATTTGTTACTATGATTCTTGATATATTCGACAAAATTTTGGCCCGCATTATATAATATTTTTTGTAATTCTGGCCGAAATTCTTTTTAAATTTTTCGGTCCAAAAATAAAAATTTTGAGGCGACAGCAGTAAAATTACAGAATTATGCCTAATTTCGGCTAACTTTTTGATCGTAGCTCTTAGCCAATTAAAATTGTGAATCTGCCGTGACAAAATTGGTGGGCCTCACTTAGGTGAAATTTCTACGTATACAGTAACTATAATATGTAATTGCTAAAGCGTTAAAAGTTGAATATAGCTGCCGAATTCGATAAGTTTTTGAATTCAGTGTTATCTGAATTTGATTTCGGCACTTATCGAACTTATCGAATTCGGCTGATCAATTTTATCAGTTGTCCCAGAATTTATGAAAATATGCATCGGATTTAAAACCGAATTTATTTGATAATATCCGGTTGTGCCTAGGTTGATAGTAGCATCATTGTACGTACATACACTTTAGTGAAAAATATTCGAACAAAACATTTGTTTGTAGAAATTCTATCTAAATAAGATTGGTGGAGGAAACGTTGATGTTACACACCTGATTTTACACACGGTGTGAAACATATAAAAAAATTATTTTACATGATCGGACTTGATCAGTCAGCTTGGTGTTGGATTATAATCATAACATGTACTAGCTGACTGATCAAGTCCGATCAAGTATTGTAAAATAATTTTTTTTATGTGTTTCACACCGTGTGAAAAATCAGTCGTGTAACATCGACGGTCGCTCCTGTAGTATTCTTGATACA